CCCTGGTCTTGGGCTGTAAGTGTCCTTTGGATAAGGAACTTAGTATTAGTGACTCTTTGAGTCGAACGTCTTCCTCTGACGCTAAAGCTACGGCAGCCCCGCTGCAGTCTCAGTGCACTTACCTCGGAGTTGGCCTCACAAGCACGAGGCCAAACGCGGACTGGCGAAGGGTCGCTACTGCAAGATCTTATCGCGAACTGGCCGTCTCGAAAGCTGCAGATTCCAACGGGAAATATGCTGAACACGGAGCTAAACTGGACCCTTGGCCGACCCTTGGAACTTTTTCTCCATGTTTCAGGCTCCAGGATTTGCTGAACAGGGCATCTGGCCCTACCCTGGTACTACCCTAAGTTATACTTCAGTTTACTGAAGTAGGTATATAGCAAAGAACCTAATACAGTCTATTCTTTAATAAGTACTTCTAAGTACCAGTACCACAGTAGTACTTTACTTTACTACAAGTACTGATGTACTTGATTCCTGTTCTGTTTTAGCGAGAAAAGAATCCTGACAATAGCATTTTTATTCTTTACCTACAGTACACCTTGTATCGTCCATTGCTGTAAATAAGCTGCCAAATTCGGCAAGAACCAACACCCATGGTCAGGGCTGTGCAGTAATCCGGCCCACCAGTAGAAAATAGTACTGTAGTACTATTAGTATTACTATAGTACTCAGTAACTCGGCCAATTTTGATACTACTGTTACAGCAGTACTCAGTAACTCAGATTGGAGCTCGGATAGTACTATCGAATTACTGCCAAGATCCAGAAGAAGAAGGAACACGCTCCGTTTTGACCACCACACTGGATTTCCGAATGGCTTGATCACTAAGCTGTATGCGGCATCGGTATGTCTATCGTGTCATGTTCCCGTCGTTTTCTTCACTCGAACACGACGGGTTTGCAAGTTGAATGGCTGCTGATGAGCCTTCAAGCACAATTGCAAAGTAATTTCGTTCAGCGAGTCCTGTTCGGGTCTGATGCGCAGGCCAGTCTCATTTACTTGCGATCTGAGCGAGCTTTCACTCAGTTTGCGATTTTCATTGCAACCCAGACTTCCTTTCCAGCCCGCTCAACGCCTCTCTCGCGCCAATGAAGTGCTCTTTTGTTTGATGTGACTACCCCGACATCGCGGTAGCGGATCCTTGCTCCGTTTGCCAAAGGCCGGTCCATCATCTCTGCTCTAACAGCCTATACGACCCGGACAACATCGCCGTGCGGTAAGTAATCTTTAAACATTATAGATATTCTATGGTTGAATTCACTTTACTAACCTATGCGTTATATATTTTGCAGCGCGTCGTGTGTCACGAATTGGAGAGCCAAGAATCTGTCTGCGGGGACCGTTGCTGCGGACGATCGGCGACATACCGGATTAAGGGGCAAGTTATGAAGAGGCTGCCCACGCCTACGGCTGAGTCGGTGGTTATCTTGTTGCTCGACCCCCGAACGAAGTTCACGGCCGACAGTCTCATTCATCATCCAAAGCTACGCCAAGAAGCCGCCGTTGGTGGGGTTGTCTCTGGTGAAGGCTTCGATGATACCGCTGGGCTCGCAGAAGCCGCAGGTGATGTGGATACCGTTATAAGCAAGGGCAAGCAAATGCTTCGCAACGCACACCGAGAAGTTTTTCGGGCAATCCACGGTTCCACCACGAATAACAGCCTGCACACGGACGTGGATACACCACCGAACCTGGACTTGGTACCGTCGGTTGACGACGAGTTAGTGATGTGTGGCGCGCCATTGGTTGCTTCATCTTCAAGCAACACGCCTGTGGCCAGCCGTCACGACCGAGCCGATGAGGTCCTTGCGAAGTGGTACCAGCACAGTATGAACTGGGTACCCGTTGCGCTCCAACAAGCATCGGACGACCAGTTGACGGAAGCAGACTTTCACCAAGTTACTCCTAGTCCGACGCAGAAACGACGTTTGCTGGAACTTGCAAGCTCTATGCGACCACATCGACATTTTCCATTGGTACCGTGAGACTAGGGCTGCAACATTGCCGTCAATTGCTGCTCTTGCCCGTGTATCGCTAGGCCGGAGCCCCTCGAACGCCTTTCAAGAGCGTGTCTTCTCAACGGGAGCCTTTGTCATGGGACCTCTACGTACAAGCACAGACAGCCGTCGAGCTGAGATCCAGGTGCTGATGAAGCACAACCGTGCGGAGATTCGGCGAATGGAACATGCGAGCATCCGCGTTTGCGAGAAGATTGACCATGCAGCGTCCCTCTAGTTGGTCGAGCAGCGGGAGCACAAGCGAGAGTGTGGACCGCACAAGCGAGAGTGTGGACCACACTTGACAATATTAAGTTGGTCGTAAGCAGTAGTTAGATAATTACAGTACTTCTACTAGGTAGTTCAGACGCCGTGAATCGAGTTACTGAGTACTGCAGAAGGTTTCAGCTTTGCATCCTTCTACTGCCGCCAGTACTTTGGAAAAAGTGGCAGTACTGCACAGCCCTGCCCATGCTTGTAGAAGTATCAATTATTGAGCAAGTGGCTATTAGCATTGTTAAATGGGGAGGCGCGTTGAAAATAGTTCCAAGTCGTAGCTGGCAGCTTCACTGTACACTTTATAGATGCACAAGGCGTACCCGCCACAATTTTACCACAACTTGCGGTTAGCTTGCATCGCAAGTTAAGTCTATGCACTTCGGACACGGCGAGCTGCGTCACGAGCCTCACGTTCATCAAGTGTTGGGTCAACCCGCATAAGAGCTTCCCAGAGCTCAAGCTGTCGAGTTCGTCGACCTGCAAATAACTGCATGAAGGAGTGGGCAGCGAAAAGCAAAAGTACAGTTAGATAATCAATCAGGCTGAATCAGTGATTATTCTGCTTGTAGAGACTTACTCGCTCGGTGCCTCGAAGGGTGGAATACTGGAAAATCATTCTGTCGCGAACAATTTGCTCAGTCTCACGCTTCTTCTGCAAAATTTGCTCCTGCAGGGCAAGTAGCTGCTGTTTGTATATGGACGTTGAAGCTGACATCGGCATTTTGAGTGTGTCCAAACTGTACATAGCGGGTCCGAGTTGCTGTGGTGTGGAAGGAGGTGGGGGCGGTTGTTTTTCACTCTGGCGAAGTAAAGGCTCTGTATCACGCTGATGCACCTCGGTTCCCAGGTCAACACTTCGTAATGGCGTTGTAAAAGGCGCCGGCGGCGTCGAAATGAACACGTTGTGCATGCCATCAGGAATGAGATCTGCTTGGATCGCAGCGTGATTGCCAGTAAATTGAGTACAAGCGTCCTTCATTTCGATGCGTTTTTCGTCACTGATCTCAGCTCTAATGATTGATACGTGCGGCCGTGATGCCGCAGTCACGCCTTCAACGCCAGGTCTCGCTTTCGGAGGATCGTCCTTTTGTATCGGCACCACCGGAATTTCAGGCAACCCAACGACTTTGTGACTTAAATGTTGTTGACTGTCCTCCCTGCCGACAACAATGTCGTTTGGTGAAGACTGTTTAGGCAAGCTGCCTTCTGGTGCCATTTCTGACATTGTTGCTGAATTGGTAGTAGCTTGCATCGGTAATTTCACAGATAGTTGCTCTGCAACTGCAGGAACGACGATATTGTCGTCACGGACTTCATGAAAACTTTTCGAATCAAGGAATGCAACCTGCTCCTCGTTATCGCTCGAGCCAGACAGAGATCTCGACTCAGAGTTCTGCGGCGTGGGATCTCTTTGGATCGGCGGTACGTGTCCGTCAACTTCATCGTCAGAGAAATCCATTGAGTAGTCAAAGGTTTTCTCGGCGATGGTGTTAGCCGATATTGGTGGCGTCGTGGTAGCTATCGCTGAATCTTCCTCGAATGCATCTTCTTCATAAACGGCACTCTCAGACGCAATCGATTGCTCCGGTTTCAGTGACGTGAAGGTTGGCGTGCCTTGGCTGCGTTGGGTATCGTGGGTTTGGTTGACTACGACATGACTTTGGCTTAGACTCTCTCCCTGAAATGACTCATTGTAGTCGTCGGCGCCCTCCTCTGTTTTTGGTTGGGTTTCTGATGGCGTCGAGGTGGCAGTAACACCTCCCGGTTGCTCGTCTGTTGCATCGCTGTGAAACGAAATGATGCTGTCTTCAACCTCGCTATTGCTCTCATCCTGGCGAGAAGTAGGTGTTGCACTCTTTGTTGGGGACACATGAGTTGCGTTGGGGAGAGGAATCTGACCGCTTCTATGGCTGCTTTCATCTTGATCATCATCTTGAAGCACTTCAACATGCTTGGGTCCTCGCTTCGAGGTAAGATCATCGCTTACTGAATTCTGAGGCAGTTCGCTGTCTTGTGCTTTGGAACCGGTCATACCATTTGCGGTCGCGGTATTGGTGTTGAGTTCTGTGTCTCCATCTGAAGAACCTATGAGCGACTCATCATCGTCGTCCAAGTCTAGACTTATGCGTCGCCTGCGCAAATTACTTTTCAGACTACTATCATTTTGTTTGAATAACAGAACAATACAGAACTCACCTGGCCGCGGTGTTGGATCCATTAGAGGCACCTATGCCTCCACTTGAATACTTCGAAAGGAAGTTTTTAGCTCTATCAAGAGCACTTCCAGATGAAGGAGTCGGTGTTTTGATGTCGCTGGTGCTTTTGGCTGGCTGCTTTAAACTCGACCCTGAACTTTGGCGCGTGGTGCGGTCGCTATCGTCGCCACTGCTGAGACCGCTCATGTTGCTGAGACTACCGCTGATATCACTCGCATCTGCATCGCTGTCAAAGGAGCTAGGGTACTTAATTGTCGTATGAGAGGCTGCAGGTATCGCGATCTCGAAGTCATACGGGTCGTCACCCATTCTTGGCTACCTAACCAAGCGATAATAAAAAGTCGCCATCCGACCGTCGGTTCACATTGTGGTCGGCAGTTTTGATCGCGTTTTGGTCACTGGCCACTTTTGGTACGAAACGAGTTGCCAAGAAGTTTGATTCAATCTTTACTGTTCATGTACATGTGTGTGTATGCACCTGCAGTTTACTTTGTGCAGTAGCTTAGCCATCCACGGCACGTCCGATCGGTGGAAAAACGTCGCCAGACCTGTTACCTGCCGTCCCACCACTCGCAAGTTTGTCCTCGAGAGCTTTCACTGCCCGACGCAGCTCTTCGATTTCGGTTCTCTGCCTGGCAATGAGCACGTCGGGATCTCCACCTGCTGCTTCCAAAGCTGCCGCCAAGGACTTGCCACTGTTGACCTTTTCCCGATTCATTCCGATTCCTGTAGTTGCCAACGTCGCCCGTTCCATCTGAAGATTGTTCTTGGCAGCAATGAGTGCACTGCGGAGATCATTGATCTCACGAATGAGAAGCATATTATCAGACGTGGCCCGTAAGTTTTCGCGCTGATGTTCCTGCGCATCGGCTGCGTATTTGCGCTTTAGGACGTGCACCGACTTTTCAAGGTATTGCTTCTGCCGGGCATACTCGAGCTGAATCTCAGCTTCCACTTCTCCTCCTGCACCCAAGCTGGCTGAACCAAAGCCTCCAGGGCCATTGTCGGGAGTGACGTACTTGTTGTAAAGTTGCGCTACCTGGAGAGCAAGCTCCTTGGGTGATTGAAGATGGCGAACACACTCGTGGAGGTCGCACCGGAAACGTCTCATCGATGTTTGTTGATCGCTTAGAACTTGACGATGGCCAGCAATAGCCTTCTGAAGAGAGTTAATGCGCTGCCGCTGCTCTCCGATTAGCACATCGAGCTGTGCGTTGCTTTTGTGAAAGAGTTCTAGCTCCTGGTCCATCTCTTTGATCTGAGCCTTCATATCGGCGATTTCATTTTCACGTGGCTCAATGGCTCGCTTCAATTCCTTGATCTTGTAGTCCAGAACAAACTTGAACTTCTCCAGTTCCTGGTTCTTCTTCTTCAGGTCATAAATCCGCTTCTCCTTCTCTCCGATGGTCTCATCACGTGCGCGTATCTCCCGTTTGAGAGCTTGAATCTCTTTTTCAAGTTGTTTTATGGCTTCAATCAGTTCTTTTTCCTTCTCTAGCAGCAGTTTAATTTGGTCGCGCTGATCTTCGATATCCTTCTGCAGCGCAGAAAACTTCTTCTTCATGATGCCATTCTCGCCCTTGAACCGAAGCGTCGCCTCGCGTTCAGCCTGCACCTTGTCTTCATATTTTTTCTTAAGTGCCTCGATTTCTTCGTCCACGTCCGCCTCGACTTGTGCCACCGTTTCACGATACTCGCGACCCAATTCGTCCTTCTCCTCCTCCATTTGTATCCGCAACTGGCGATCCTCATTCAGACGTTGCTCAAAGTCTTCCGTCACGTCAGCCACGTATTTATCGTGGGTAGTCACGAGGCGTTGTTGCTCACTTTTCCAGTGTTGAGACTGTGCCTCACGCTGGGTGAGCACCTCCTGGTATTGCTCAACCTCCTTCATGATCTTCTGCTGGAATGCCGCCTCAGTCTCCTGCATCTGTTGCAAATGGTGCTCTTCTAACTGCTTGATCTTCTCCTCGTACTCCATTTCAATGTCGTTCTTGTCTTCTCTCAAGAGCTCGTACTTGTTCTTCTCCAGCTCAATTTCGTGTGTGAACTTCTCCGTAAGGTCTTTGAGGTTTTCATTGTACGTCATGTCTTTAAGCCGCAGTTGGTACTCATTGTGGAGCATGAGTTCATCCACCTTGTTCTTTAGCTCCAGCATCAACGTGTTCTTTTCCTCTAGATCTGACTTTGTCACCAGAATCTCTTCAGAAAACGAAGCCATGCTACCTCCATGCCCTCCATAACCCTCATGATGGTACGATGAAGTGCCAGCATAGCCACCGCTGATTGCAGCTGCTGCAACTGATGAAGCTGACAGAGAAATATCCCCGTCCCTCCCAGTATTTCGACTTGGGCGTCCTTCCTTGTCTCGTACTTCGAAGATACATACCGCGCCATCCTCACCAGCGGCAAAGAGGAACTGATCGTCGAAAGACACGCGCAGTCGAGTAATAGGAGCACTGAGACATTGAAACTCGGTCGATTCTCCCGTAAGCGGGAACTTGAAAGCTCGTATTGCTCCTGGACGATCGGGCTCTGCCCCAGCACCAAAAAGTAGGCGCTGGGACCCACACAGCACCAGCTGGCCCAGAGTGGCGTCACACAAAAATTCTTTGGTTAGTTGGGATGACGGGACCTCGATCTCCTTAAGCAAACGATCGCCGCCCACAGCGTAGATAGCGGTTCCTTCACGATTGCAAAGCGCCGAGTAGTAGGACACACCCTTTTGTACGAACTCAGCCTCACGCTTTGCCTCATCAAGATCCCAGTGGTATACTGCGCCATCAAGTCCAGCAGAGACAATACTGGAATCGTCAGCATTCCAGTAAAGACTGCGCACCTTGCCGTTGTGACCTCGAAGTGTAGCTACTAATTCACCCGTGAAAAGAGAGAATACCTGAATGGTATTGCCGTTAACTGCCGCAAAGAGATGCCCCCCAGTGCTGAACTGACACTCGCGACAAGCCTTCACTGGGAGCTCCTTGAAAGAGCGAATGTCATCCATGAGGATATTCAGCAGACGAAGTTTGTCTGCAAAGCCAACCAGCAGGTGTAATCCAGAAGGATGGCAGGCGACACTGAAAGCTTCTTCATTAAAGCGCTTGACCACCTCGCAGGTACGATCAATATAGTTCCAGACACGAACGGTTCGATCCAAACCACACGTCACGAGGAGCGGCTTGCGCACACACACGTCCATACCAGTCACGTGCAATACACCGCCGCTACCTCCACCAGTAGCGGTGTTCGGGTCGCTTGGCTGATGGAAGCTTGTAATCACGTATTCCACATCCTCACTTTGAGTTGTCGCAGTGTCTGATGCTGCTGCACCAGACGCGCCACCAAGGCTAGCATTACCGGACTCATCCACCACCGAAACAGTAGCAGGGACGCCAGAATGCACTCCTGATACGTGAATTTGGTAGGGGAAAGTGAGTAGTTGAGCGTTGGAGGTGGTGACAACGATGACATCTTCATTAGGGCTCACGGCAATTGTCGCGACGTAGCCTGACCCTGGGTCGACGCGGACGAGCCGCTGCAGCGTTAGCGTATTGGCTGCATCCTCAAGGGAAATGATCTTCTTGTGACGATGGCATCGGACTAGCTTCCTCCTCAACAGACGTCGTCCTGGGCGAATCAGCATGATCTCCAGCGTCATTTAAGACTACTCCGAACATGGCTACCGTATTATCACTGAGTCCACACAGGAGCCCTTTAGTGGTTGCCGTCAAGCTGTGTACACCTCTGCCTGGCCCCGGAGACGCACTGAGACGAGTAATAAATTCTCCTCCGTGGAAAAGCATCAGATCCCCCGCGGCAGATCCAGCGACTAGATAGTCGTCGCTCTGCTTCAGCCACGCGTGCGCAAGGAAAATATGACTCTCCATTCGAGGGCTGGGCAATGGGCGGAAGGCTGTCTCGAGCACTCGAAAGAAGCGAATAAGCCCCACTCCAGTAACACACACCAATCCAGCATCCACATCGCTAAATGAACACGCAGATACTTGAGGTGGGCAAGCCGCGGATGCAATACCGCCGGAGTTGTTTGAGCCAGACGCTATCAAATTAGCGTCCGAGGGCGATGAGTTTAAGTGAGCCATGCTCCCACCAATGGTATGTTGCGTCGACTGGCCTGCGAGTGCCAGCATGGCCGAGCTTGGAGATGCGTGGGGTGCCATGACGTGAAGAGGGGCCTTGACACTGGCCACTGGCTTGCCTTTAGACCAATTCCAGCAAGTCAGCATCCAGCCGGGGGACCCCCCTTGAGTTAGTAGCAACTGATTATCAGCGCTGAAGGCCATACTGACGTAGCTTCGAGCCTGAGCATCGGCAGGGCTCAGCACTTTGCGTTTCTTGAGCGTCTTGAGGTCGAAAATACTAACAAGCGCTCGCTCGCTGCGCTCTGCAACAGCAAGAAAGCGGCGACTGGGAGTTAAAGCTGTAGCAGTGACGCCCTCGGAGGCTTCCGTGCCGGCGATAAATTTCTGGCGCTTATCGTCCAGGGAGCACACGATAATGTGGTGACCGGCTGGATACGCCACCGTTTGGTCGTCGACGAAAGCCACATTCGAGTGGGCATCCAGCTTAAGACCGAAGATGTGGCTGAGCAGATACAAACGGTCAGTGAGGTTGCCGTCGTGAGGACTAGGAAGGACAGCGTACGCTTACCGGGGTATGAGATTGACCGTCGCCATAGCACGCACGTCGCCAGCGGACAATCGGTGAAGTTTAGGCTGAGGTCTGTCGGTTGGGGAAACGTTGCGTATTTCGTGGGCATCGCTGCGGTTTCATGCCGTGACCCAAGCGCCTTGGAATCCAACTTGGATGCATCCTCACTTCTTGCCGTTGGAAACCTCCACCAGACAAACGAGTCGTTGGCAACGATCAACGTCGCCTTACCGGTATACCTACTTCGAAGTACACGTACCTGCTTACGGACGCACCGTGACGAATCAAGCACCACTTTTAATGCAGTATACTGTTCATACATGTATGATGTACTAGCACATGTACGTTGCAGCATGTCCCGCTGCGAATCGCATGCCATAGGCACCAGGATAGTACAAGAAGAGGCTGCGCACTTGCTGGGCGACGCAGCTACTGCCTCGGATCAGTTCACAGGTACAGTAACGGTAATACCGCTCCGGTGTTTCTTCTGTATCCATGTCATGGAATCCATGATGGCTCTGCTCTTCCGACGTTATCAGTCAGCTTTAAGGACAAATGACAAGAAGCGAGGTACAACTCATCCTGATGTAGGCGTGGCTTGAATATCCAAAATTTAGATTTATGCTGTCAGCTAAGCGCAATCTTTTCGTACTCCTGGACTTGGGAGTTGAGAGAGGCCGCTTGCGCTGCACCGTGCAGCAGTGCACGTACGGTATAAGCCACTGTTGGAAGCTCTCTCATTTGTCGCCACAAGGCGTTTGTTACATTTAAGAATTTCACAGCAGCGAACCACTGTCACACTCGTTGCAAGCAGCTCATAGATACTTGTACTAGAGGTCTTGTATCTAAGCTTAAGAGACACTACAGGTGCGAACGGCGTTGCAGGTTGGATATTTGAGCCACGCGACTTTGGCCATAATTTGAAATCACTACCGGTACTGTACGTTGAGTCTCTTCAAGAGACTCTCTTGTGCCTATGAATCATAGTATGATAGGCAGCCCAGGATTCCTGGCAACCGTTGCCGCAAGTTGCGGCCCGCAACCGTTGCGGCAACGGGAAGACGACAGCTGCGGCGAAAAACACCACCAAGTGATGTCTCCAAATCCGCGACCTCATCACGATCTGGATCGATGTATCAAGCGATGTGAAGTCACCAGTCGCGCGTCGGTCGCCCAGCGCGATTGGCCTGCTCACGTTGCAGACCGCGTTCAGGCCGACAAGGGATAACGCATCGAAAATATGGCGGGGTAAAGTGCCTTGTTTCGCTCTGTAGCCTACAGTGTAGGGCCTACAGTGTAGGCTACGGATATAGCGCTACTGTACAGTCTAGAGTCTGAGTCAGACAGTCTGTAGCGCATATCCTGCGGAAGATCCCTCGATTTGGAGACGCAAGCACGTGATGGCGCACCGAGAGCGAAGCCCGCGCAGCTGCAACAAAGCAGTCGGTGGCCAGCCACCTCTGCGAGGCGCCTGTCCAGAGGCTCTGGACGGACGCCTTGATATCTGCCGGCAAAGTCTTTGGACCAGGAATCCTAGAGGCAAATAACGTGATGTTGAAGAAATGATGCCTCGACAGAAGCAATGCAGAAGTAAAGAGAGTTGGTATTATAGTATTTCCATAGTACTATTGCTAATAAATATTGAGCCACGCCGCCCGATCTCTTTATATCAGCTTGGGGTTGAACACCGCTAACCTCCGTCGCACGAGATCAAAGACGCCGTTGCGGCGGAAGAGGCAACATATGTCGAAACGAGTCTTGGTCAGCAGAAGACGCTCCGCCTTGAGTGCAGCAGACTGGCTTTGGAGCTGCTCGAACTGCTGCTCGTGGCTCGCGCGCGCGTCGCCCAGAACCTTTAGTAGTTTGTGCTCCTCCTGGCGCTCCTCTGTCATCTCGGCGAGCGCAGCCGTGACGTCACTCACCGTGTGCACATTGCCCGCCTCGAGCTCGCGCACGAATTCATCGATGTCTTCAATTCGGTCATGACAGTCGTCGATGTCGTCACTATAGGACTCAACCTCCTCCTGCTCGTCCTCCAGTGCAAGCTCTAGGTCACCCAGCTCCATCTCGATCTTGCGCAGTCGAGCTACCGTGGCCTTGAGCACCTGCACCAGCGCGTAGTTGGTCACCTTGACAACGCGCCGCGACGTCTGCTTGTCCATGGCAACTTTCATCTGCATTTTGTCTTCTGTTGTTGCTGTGTGTGTGAGTCTTGAAAAGAGAAAAACTCCCTTTCTCGTCGGCTTGCTTAGCTTGAGGGAAATCCGAAAGTGAAGAAGATTGCCACCGCACTTCTGGCGGCGCAGACCAGCCATCGAGCACTGGCCTTCTTTTGCACCGCTGAATGAACCCGGCCAGATTAAGCGGGACCCAGCGGTTACGAAATCCAATCACAAAAACGCGCAACGTAATTGTTTGGAATACGTGATTGGTCACACCCCACAAATTTGTAGAATATAGCCAATCAATCTTAGCAAAAAATCTGGTTTTGGAAGCCAGATATTTAGTCAATCTGCTTCATTGGCAAGCAGGTCTTGTCGATGAGTCCGCCATTTCATACTATGAAGTACATAGGTTTCAAACGCGTGGGCTGCTGAGAAACTCCGCTGCCGTGTACATGCATACTTATAATACTGTTTCCATGTTTTAGTCGTCATTTATCTGGTCTGCAAACGATATTCAATTAATACGCATGTAATAGACAGCGCCATACTTTTTTAGTTTTACATGTAGTGCATGAGCAGATAAACTCGTTAGACCAATTATGCAAGCATTGCCGGTATTTAAAATACTACAGGTGTTTAAAAGTGTATTATAGTGGTTGAACTCGCATGGCAGCCCATCAGGTTGAGTGGATCCCGAAGGAAGATGCCTTGTCCACGACGGCGCCGGTCATCCTGATGGCAGAGCTGCCATGTGGTGCGCGGAGTGACCGCTCTTCTCCGCGGCAGCCAACTCTATTACATAGTTGTATTGTATAGTGACTTTATTCTAGCAGAAACGAGCCGATTTCGCCATAGTGGAGAAGCACGTCACCGAAAGTGCGTCGCTTGGAGTCGGTGACCGAGCAATGGAAAAGGTCAGCTCAGCATTGTCCGTGCGAAGACACCGGCTGCAGCCATCAGGATCTAAGCTTATTAATAGCGCCGTGGCGGTAGGCTTGAAGTCCGCGGTGGCAGCTTTGATAAGCGCCCTACACGTAGCGGCGCTGCTTCGGTAGCGTGCAGTCCATTTTGCAGTATTTGCCGACGTGGCAATGCGCTGGACTCGACAATGAAAGAAACACATTTCCGCAGTACCACTACTCGTTGTACGACACCATGATAACTTATCATTAAAAGCTTATATCAAATGTGCTACAGTAACATGCCTAATGAGCGCGAGGAAGCGACCCAGATGCATTGGTCGACCCGGCGAGTGCACGACCTCCTTCGCTACTTCGACGCCGTGCGCACGACCAGGCATCTTGTGCCTCTACAATGCAGTACATGTAGACTACATGTACTGTACACCCCAAGTCGTCTATTACACGTATCATTGGCACGGGGCGGAAGATCGAGCGGCGAGCGGACATGCGCAGAAAGCAGCAGGGACTGATCGTGTGGCGCAGGCGGCAATGTTGAAGGCGGGCATGATACGTCGACACACCGGAAATTAAAACAGGCTTTGCCGGTTGTGTCATCTCGAATGTGCATGCCCGCCGCCTCATTGCGCTGCATCACCTTAGTGCTTATGCAGCAGACGCTTTTTCTCGAGCCCGGCGATCGCATGGCCCACGATGAGTGTTTTCGCACGGCTGGCAAACGCGAGGATAAGAATCCGCCAAGGCCTCGGGAAAAGCTGTATAACCGGTGATCTCGAGATCGGGCTTCCCTACTTTGCTGATCAATTCACCTAAGACGCGGGCATGGTGCGCGCTCCTTTCAAACCGGAGTCCCCTATTGATGGAAGGATCCGTCTATTGAGTATTATCATTATTATCCTGTTTATTTTCTCTTTCTTGTTCTACTCGTTCTTTCATGACACTTTCAGATTGAATTTTATAACTTTAAGTACATAACTTTAAATGCTGTACCAAGTAGAAGAAGTAAATACTAGTATTTACAAGCTGTTAAAACAAAACACTCACTGTACATACAGTACTACATTGAGGGTTAAACACCAGTGCCTACTGTACTGTACACTGTACAGTGTACAGTAGCGCTGCGCGTGACTACAGTTGCAGTCACATACCCTCTATTATATGCTCGTCATAGCCGTGCGATTGTCAACGCGAGATGAGTGCGTCGACCACAGTATATTATGTAAAATACATGTACATGCACAAGTACTGAAGACGCTTGCATGCCTCCACTCACAAATCATGCGTATTTGTCCTGTCGGCACAAGGCATAATCAATAAAGTAATCCTGTACTGCCTACTCAATCCTACCTACCGACCGATAAAGCAACGAGATCATTAGACCCCCAAATTAGAATTATATCACTACATCGAGATTGCAGCAAAATGGACTGTCCTGTAAGCGAGAGCTATAAAAAATCTAGCTGTTCATATGCGTCTAATTTTTTTGCTTGTCCCATGAGTGCGTGTCTGGATCGCCCGGAGTTTTACTTAGAGTCTCGCTGTCATTTTTCAAAATCTCGTATGCCAAAGAGGTATTGTGTCTTTCAACTCTTTTGGCAAAACGGGCAACAAAAAACTCACCTCCAAGTGCAGAGGTTAGGTTTACTCATCTGTTTTAGTAGGGAGTCTACCAGCGAATTATCCTGATACTTCTTAGATAAAAAATATTTTATCCAATTAAATCAGGGTTTGCGCAATTTATCAGCTAATCACGTTTATACCGTCGATCCCTTGAAAGGACCCAAGAAACTAGTCTCAAGCTGGGAAAAAGTCTCGAATGGCTATAAATTTCCCAGCCATTCGATACTAAGTACTCCACAGAGCAGTTTAGAATGACCTACTCAATCGACATGCGCTGGAGAGCCATCGTGCTTATGTACGTATACTCAATCCAAGCAGAGACAGTGGCTAGTGTTCTAGGTATTTCTCAGCGCAGTCTAGGTCGATGGTTCAGACGATTTCGCGCGACCGGAAATGTACTGAAAAGCGAGCCAAGGAACAGGACGTCAAGATGGCCAACCGAGGTGTGTGCGTTTGTGCGTCAGTACGTAAATCAGCATCCATGCTTCTATTTTGAAGAGCTACGGCTCGAGCTACGAGCTCGCTACACTAGCACTATTAGTGTATCAGACTCAACTATTTGTCGAGCCCTCCGATTCGATCTCAACCTCACCAGGAAGGTGCTTACGAAGCGAGCGCGGGAATGTGTACCGAGGGAGCGCCGTGAGTATGTTGCTCGACTCTTACCGTACTATAGCGGTCCAGACCAACTCGTATTCATCGACGAAACTTCGAAAGATGGGAGGTAAAGTATTCTGTTTAATAAAGGTTACTATGCATTTAATCTAATTAGCTTGAGTTTTGTATGTTTAGGTCAGTTCTTCGTCGGTATGGATGGTCGGCAAGAAATACTGCAGCTCACGTTACAATACCTTTCAGTCGTGGAAAGAGAGTGTCAATTTTGGCCGCGATGGATGTGAAGGGCTTTTTTGGGTGGGGAAACGTGGAGGGAACATTTACGCGTTTAGAATTTCATCACGTGTTTAAGGAAAAGATTCTCCCGTTTCTCAATCCATGGCCTTTGCCTCGATCCATTGTAATCATGGACAATGCCAAGATTCATATGTACAAAGAATTGCAAGCTTTGATACACGCTACTGGAGCTCTGCTGTTTTTCCTGCCTCCGTACTCACCAGATTTAAATCCTATTGAGGTTGGCTTCTCGCTTCTCAAACGGTGGATTCAAAGACACGCTAATATGGCATTTCGTGAAGATCCTCTCGCTGTTTTAAAAGTGGCAATGTATAAGTGCACCAAGCAGAAAGACGAAGTCGGAGAGAATTTGTATAGTCATTGTGGGTACATGTCAAACGAGATAGCGATAAAACAGTAGCAAACAGTAAAGGTAACTTGTCCTACTCTACTACTCCATATTTGCATCGGTATCACTCATGTGTTCTTCGTCTTCAATGTTGGTCGCTGGTGCCGGCGTGTCTGTTTGTGTTGGCGCTCTAAACGGAGGTCGTAAGCTATAGCTCGGTAGTCCCAGCGCCTCTCGTAGATCACTTACGCTCACATGTAATGGCACAGGAACACCATGAAGCTTAACGCGCACGACTCGATACTCACCTGCGCTTTGCTGTCGCTGTTGTTCTTCCATTGCACTATTCATTGCTGCTTGCTCGACGTCAATGTGCTGGAGCTGGCGGAATGTAACACTGTCGGGTACTTGTAATGGAGTCCCTTCAGGCAATCTTGCGTGTGTGATGGCCATGTATCGCTCTGTCGCAGGCCCAGCGTCAACCTGCTGCTCTCTCAGAAATGCTGCCACACGTGGCATTTGCTCCTGAATACGGGCAGCACTAGCTCGACGGAGTGACGTCTGAGCTTCAGGCTTGGGTACGTACACAAAAAGCTCCAGCTCAAACCCTGCTTGCCCATTACGCCTCCGTTTCGCCCTGTTCCAGACATCCTTTAATTGTGCAAGAAGGGCCGCTGTGTCTTGGCATGCAATCTCAAACTGTTTTTGCTTGGCGTTATTGCTAGGCTTCAGATAGATGTCGAATTCAGGTCTCCATTGTCCTGGCAGTTTGCTCTCGAAATGTTCTTCGACTTTTGCTCGCAGGATGCTGTACCCATCGGATACCTTGTACAAAAATGCTGGTGACACCGGAACCTTGTCCCGACACGCAGCGAAGGGTTCTCCATTCTTGATGCTGAGACGACAGGACAGTGACTCTGGCAGCGGAATATTCTCCATTTACAGCTCAGGTGTTTGAATTTGATGGTTATTGTAGTTGTGAATCGCTATCCTCCGCTGGTAAACTGCATATAAACACTCCCTTGTCTGTACACTGTACAACAACGTCCTCGTATTTACCGCCCCTCTTATCTTATTCACACCGCTGGTAAACTGCATATAAACACTCCCTTGCCTGTACACTGTACAACCCCGTCCTCGCATTTACCGCCCCTCTTATCTTATTCACACCGCTGGTAAACTGCATATAAACACTCCCTTGCCTGTACACTGTACAACCCCGTCCTCGCATTTACCGCCCCTCTTATCTTATTCACACAACGCGCTGCACTTACCCGTAGAGTGTGAGCTAAACCATAGCAGCCGTCTCGCACTACCTTACCATTCTTATCCATCGGCAACTTGTAACGGTGCCACCGCAGACCACACTA